TGACTTTATGACTTGGTTGACTTTTGGCCAATTAGCTAGTTTTAGAAGTTGGACTAAAGGTTTACCTTGTATGGTTTATTAGGAGGTGTATAACACCCGATTCATTGACTGTGAGAGCTGTTAGTTGTTGACTACGTCTATGAGGTGAGTCTTCTCACTATACTATGTAAGTTGCTAGATTGTCTTTGTGACTCTTGCATAAAAGATTGTGGTTGGATCACAACACATGTATGAAAGACTGTGGTTGAATCACATCACCTGTATGAAAAACTGTGGTTGGATCACAACACTTGCATGAAAGACTATGGTTGGATCACAACACTTGTTTGTCTTTGTGACTTTCATGGAAGACCATGGTTGGATCATGGCAGAAAGGTTATGGTTGGTCTATAATCTAGGAGTGATTGTAAGACTATGGTTGGATCATAACGTTCACATAGGGTTGAAATACACCCCTAGGGCTGGGCCCATTGGTATGTATAGTATGTGCTATTTTGGGGAACTCACTAAGCTTTTTGCTTATGGTTTTGTGGTTTAAATATTTCAGGTACTTCTAGTTCCAAATGGAAGGGCCCAACTTGACCGCACAACATCCCATGATGGCTTTTTTCACATGATTATTACCATTTTACTCTGATGTTTGAAAGATACATTTTACTATTATTGGTTCTGAACAAATGATTGTTTGGTTTTGATGGTTTGAAAATGAAAATTTTTATTAGTATTTTAGGGATGTTACATGTGAAAGTTGAAGTCAAGAGCTTTGAGATTAGGGGCTGAATTTCAATTTATGGAAGTTAATATTTAGAGATTTACGAGATGAATTTCAAATTATAGAAGTTAAGGTATGATCTTTGAATTAGTATCAATATTGATGTAGTAACAATTAGAGTTTGGTCCTCAATTGTTTAAATAAATACTTTCTTGGGTTAAAGTGAAAAAGTTAATATGATAAAAATGCTAGTTGTGTGTAAAGTCAGAACCAAGACTAAAATTAGTAAGTTAATGGGATAACCATGTCTATAGGTGAAATGTTAGAACTAAAGCATCCAAATCCCTCCATTCACTTCATTTTTCAAATATGGAACCAAATCCCTCCATTCACGTCATTTTCAAACATGGATATATAAAGAGTAGGAAGATCTAACTTTTAAGAGATTTTTATAAAATTAGGATCAACATTGAAGTGTATTTAGTGAATCTAGGTCAAAACATTCGGAAAGAAGTTTGAGGTAGCTTATTAAACCCTCGTTTGTCAATTAAGCTTCGATGTCTAGAAACCTCTCTTAAATTTTAATTTTATTATAAACTTGGTGTTAAAGCAAAAACTATTGTATAATTTCATGTTTCCATCATTAATGTACAAGTACAAGTACGTCTATAAGGTTGAGATCATTCTCTTGAAGCTAAAATGGAGTTTTTTCCGGATCATTATTTGACATGCTATTGAATTGATCTAGTGGGATTTAATTATATTTATCGATTTGGCTTCATATTGAATCTTATAAAGTCTAAATCACGATTTTTAACACATTCAAATATATGAAATAACGATTTAACAAGTTTTGATGAATTTTTTTCAAGTGAAAATTAACCAAATCTTCAATAAATGAATTATATAACGATTAAAGGATGTAAATAATGTTAAAATATACTTTGGAGTCAGGTGTTCATCTTCATTGCAAGGCATAAGTGAAAACCAAATCTAGTGGTCACGTCTACAGTTTTGAATTCCTATTTTTGGAAAGTATGATTATCATCATCTACTAATTACTAATGTTAACGATGTTGATTGCTACATCATTTAATGTTTGTGCAAAGTTTTGAATTATGTTAATCTATTCTAGATTGTTGAAGTCTATCTCTTAGTTGATTTAGGTTATGAAAATAAGAAATTTGGCAAAAACCACAAAATAGGACTTATTTGCGTTTAGCTATGTAAGGCCTTGTAGAAGGCTTTGTAAGACATTGTAGAAGGGTCAAAAAGAGGCAATAAGGAGTGTCATTAGGTGTAGGCGTATAAGGACTTACAAACTAGTTTATAAGGCCATGTAGATCTCGTTGCAAGACCTTGCAAATTTTTGTAAGGCCTTGTAGACCTAACTTTGGATATCTAGCTTATTAGTTTAATTTAAGCTGATTAATAATAGTCATTTGTTTGATTATGCATGTTCATATGTTATATAATCCTTCAACACTTACAGTAACTTGTTAAAAGATAACATATACACTCAATGTGAGTTCATTACCTAAGAGCATATGTCCCATAAATAATATGTATTTGATTTATCTTATGATTTGAATAACACATGTGAAATATTATATGTAATATGTGTTGCTTTCATGGATTACTATATGTAATATGTGTTGCATTGTCTCTCGATGTTATTATTGCACACTCTTAGTTTTTAAAACTATTGCAATTTTGAATGTGCGAGACCTTATTTGCAAATTGTTTTCTTAAAATGATTTTTTATCCTATAAAACACTTACACTTTTATTTTAAATGACTATTTCAAATAGTTTATACAAGATGTTTTTCAATCGAGTATACAAATATGAATTCCCTTAATATTTGAGTATTTTTTTTTATTAAGATCCTAAACCCTAGGGCTTTGATATGAAGTCCGAATAATCAAATTTTAGTGTTTGAATAATCGTTTTGGCTATAAGATTAGTTGTTAAGTTTCAAAATTTTAATGAGTGATAAATTACTTAATTTACATTATAATTCATTTAAAATACTTTTAACTCAAATAAACAAATAGCATACAATTGCATTCAACTTTATGCCAAATATTGGTCAGTTTTTGAAAATTTGAGAGATACGAAATACAAAACACAATGTACAAATCTATTAAACAAAAACCAATTAATAGGTAAAATCAATCAATTAATTGGTTAAACCCTACAAAGAGAAACACAATGTACAAATATATTAAACAAAAACCAATTAATAGGTAAAATCAGACAATTAACTCGTTAAACCCTACAAAGGGAAACCAATTAAAGAGATTGACATATCATAGCTAATTAAACCAAATAAGTTAATTAAACCTAATAAAGAAAAATTAATAAATAAAGTTAATAAATGATGAACAATACATGTGATCTCCTTTATATATATATATATATATATATATATATATATATATATATATATATATATATATATATATATATATATATCAAATAATTTATTCCTTATTTTAGACTCCCCGTCTGCAATTTTCAAACCTAGCATCTTCAGTATTTATGAATAAGAATGGATTGTATTTCCTACATAATCTTCTTTAATATACTTTTGTTTTTAACAACCCATCTATCGATAAAACAATATGGGTTGTTGCATAAATTATTTGATCCGAGAGTTGTAATGAGAACATTGATGTATGAAGTCCGATTGAGATTCATGTTAGCTTGCAGGTGAGGTGTCTGAAGTTAGATTAGTTATCCGGTTAAATAGTTAATGCATATATTAATGATATAACACTACATGTAAAAGTAAACCAAAGGGACATCATAAGGTGATAGAGTTTTGTTCAGTTAGATATTTTTTATCATTTTCCTTGGTTCGGGGGATAACCGATATGATGATGTTAAATTGGCCTTTAATATTAATATTATTATTATGTAACTAACTGTATTATGTAAAACGCATGCTATTGACAAGATGCGAAAAACACATGTTTAGGGTTTTCGTTCAATTAATATTTCCTCTTTGCATTATTAAAACTTCAAATTCACAAGATGAGAAAAACGCATGTTATTTACATACACAAGTAATACCAAATGAATGAAGAAACTTATGTGATCATATCTTTTTTTAGAACGACAATTCACACATTCTAAACTACTCATAGTCTACACCTTTTGCCCTAATGAGACAAAATGTTTAGGGTTTTTGTCTATGTCGTATACACAATGTAAAGCACAAATAAGACATTGCATGCAAAAAAAGGTATATTTATCACATAATTTTATAGACTAAAGGAAAGAAACAACAACTTAAGTGCATACCAAAGAACTTGTTATCTAAGGCGTTAAGGAAAGGTGACCATCAACAATATGCTGAGGATTCAAGCACAACTTGGGAGGAAATATGTATATTTATGAGTAATATAATGAGTGTGAGTTAGTCGTTAAAAAAAATAATATGATAATGTTTGACTATATTTTTATGTTTTTAGAAACATATTTTCTACCTAAAACGGTGTGTCCCAAAATAGTAGTATTATGGAATATTTACGATATGATATTAATATGTAAGGCTTTCAAGCAAAAGATATTCGATGCAAACACCAAAAAATATTTTTTTTACAATTAAAGTGTATGCCCTACTGTATTTTTCGAATAGACAACTAATATAACAAATTCTAATTGTCTCATATTCATGCAGAGATTTAGAATCTTAATTCCTTCTATTATTTTTAAAATTAGAACGACAAACACACACTATTTAATCCATTTAGAATCTTAGTGGCGCAACTTGTTAGCCGTTTGCCTTTTCATTCGTTGTACGATGATAACTGAGATGTATTAATTTAACGGACTTTAACTTACCATTTATTTATATTGAAAGACGTCTTTCATCAATACCTAATAATGCTTAACTACAAGCTCTTTGGTCTTAATTCCTTCTACTTGTTTGTTCTAAAAGACATTCATACAATAGCTGTCAGAATTTTCATTCATCCCAATATACGCTCAAATGGTAGAGAAATTATTATATAAATGCGGGTCGGATCTATTGACCCAAAAAGAAAAAAGGATTTACGAATGGCACCTACTCTACTGCTAGTCTACTAGTATAAAGAGGCGCACTTTAGAACTACCGAGTCATCAATCACTATATTATCTCGTTTTTTATTAGCTGTCACTACCATCCCCCACCTACAGCCATCCCCCACCACCGTCGCAACCACCGCTGCCTACCATACCCCACCGCAGTTCACAGAAATTCGCCTTCTGAAAGCCCTGATTTTGATCAGCTCCACCTTATGGCTACCGATACTCCCTCTCCACCTCCTACTGCCTCACATGAAGAAGAAGAAGATAACATCAACCAGCAACCGCCTACTCAGCAGGAGTTGGTTCTGTCATCGCCGTCACCAATCGAAGACGTGGATCAGCACCAGCAATTTGAAAACTCAAATTCACCTTATTCGCCGCGGACGTCCGTCGCAAAATCGGAAAAGCCTGTCGACCGCGAACATCCACCACCTGAAGACGTCGAAGATGAACAGGAACAGGAACCGGTTCCGACTTCACCTCCACCGCAAGACAAAATGCTCGGCCGTCAGCAGCCTTCGCCACCACCGTCGCCTTCCTCCTTCTTACAACCGTCACCACCACCGCCACCTCCACCGCCACCCACAGAACCTGAATATCCACCGGAAAACCTTAGCCCTGGCCATGAATCTCCTATTTCAAAGCAATCACCATCACCACCAAAGCGAGACGAAGACCCCGTGCAAAGCCCTAATTATCGTGAAACCCCTTACCCAAACCCTAACCCTAACTCGGATCATGAGTCTCCGTCTCCGTCTTCACCAGCAACACTCCAAGGAAACCCTAGCCCTAAACCACACGAATCACCTAAAGACCCCTCTCCGTCGCCACCACCGACCGCCGCATCACCATTATCACCACCACTCCTCCAAGCGGTTGCCAGCTCTTCACCGATTAAACAACAAATCTTACCCTGGACCCACCAGGAAACTGCAAACCTGATCCAAGCTTACCAAGAGAAATGGTACTCTTTAAAAAAGGGTCCCCTTAAGGCCAGCCAATGGGAAGAAGTAGCCATCACGGTGGCTGCACGCTGTGGCTACGACGAGCCCACCAAAACCGCCAAACAGTGCCGCCACAAAATAGAAAAGCTTCGTAAGCGTTACCGTTCAGAGAGGGGCAAACCTAGGTCCAAAGCCACCGCTTGGAATTTCTTCAAACTCATGGACAACCTGGAAAAAGGACCTTTACCAATTTCATCGTCACTGCCCTCTATGGAATTAGTCGAGTACCAGAAACCAAGCAACTCTAATGGCAAAAAGAGGAAGAACAACGATGATGGTGACAGTGAGTTTCTTGTTAACAAAAGAAGCAGGTCTAAGATTTCTTCTAATCATCGTATCTCCAATGACAGAGATGCTCGGTTTTCAGATGGTGGACATGATAGGGTTATGAGAGGGTTGAGGACTCCAGTTGTTCACAAACATAAAGGTTTTTATCAGGAGGAAGAAGAAGATGATAGTAATGAAGAAGATGAAGACACTGAAGAAGGGGTAGCAGCACAATTGGCGGCTGAAATAAAGGGGTTTGCTGAAAAGTTTGTAAAAATAGAGAACAAGAAGATTGAGATGATAAAAGATGTTGAGAGATACAGATTGGAGATGGAGAATAAGAGAATGGAAATGATACTTGAATCACAACAGATGCTTGTAGAGACTGTAAACAAAGCTTTTGGTAGATCTCATAAACCACACAAGCTTTCTGCAAATTAAATAACAACAGTTGAAGATCTCAAGAATCAAGGTTCAAGCTTTCCTTGTGTAGTCGATAATTTTATTTATGTTTTTATCTTTGAATAACAACTTAGATTGTTGCAGATTTGTAGGTTTAGAAACAACTTTCGGGTCTTATTTGTATCTATTTATTAAGGTGAGAAAGATTCGAAGAAGTGATATTGTGGTAGAGGAAATGGTATAAATGGATATAACATTCCAACTTTAAATATACAGTCCAGAACTTGCATGTTGATAATAATTTTATATTTTACCTCTTTTACTCTTTAGGGTTTGTGTTATGATTCAACAAACAAGTATTTCTGTATGTGTTACTTTAGTTATATTTTAATGTTTGTGAAGCTAACTGATTCTAATATTTGTTCAAAATATACCATTATGATTGGCACACAGCACACTTATTACCTCTTACCGTTATGTTTTGCTTATCTAGTCGTTTTTCTCATATTATTGTATGTGATGACAACAAATTCCAATGTTTATTCAAAATGTATTGTTATGAATTATGATATGTTATAGCATGTTTTACCACTTATTCTTTATGTGCCTTTGAGGTGTCATCCATCACTTGTATAATATCTAAGTTGTTATATCGATAACAATTTGTGTTCGACGCCACTCAAGTGCGTAGGTCTCAACTTTTGATTTTGGCTTTCTTCCTCTTAAGATTTATTGCTCTCCTTTCTGATTTATATCAATTACACAATAAAATACATATTAAAAGTAACATAAATCATGATATAACAATATGGATGCTATGTTGATGTCGCCTCATCATTAGAGTGGATTACACTTTCGGACAATAAAATGAAAAAGTGACTCATCATTAGAGTGGATTACACTTTCGGACAATAAAATGAAAAAGTGACTAATTGAGTACATGCGAAATAGTTGATGGCTAAATCATGAGATAGACCATATGGCTAAATCATGAGATAGACCATGAGTAGTAATCCGTAACCTATGTTATATTATATCATAATGGACCGGTTTGAACAAACATTAGATTTATTTATTTATTTTTGAAACGATAAATGTATTTTTAAAGACTATCTAGAACTCTGCGTAAAGTTTCCTCCCGTGATATGAGTTACTACTCCTTGATCGCTTATACTGCCCCAAACATCTGACTGCATTATCCAACTAAAATGAAAGCTAACAAAAGAGAAATTACAATGTAATACAAGCCATGGTTGGATTTTTCTATCAATTCAACAACCCTTTTTTATACCTATTCGATTCATTAAAATGAACACTCAACGATCTCACGAAACAACCTATATTTTCTCTGCTTCACCTTTCCAAAAATGAAAGAAATTATGAACCTCCGCAACTACCAACAAGTAATCACATCACCACAACAACAAAAGTTTTTCTTTGCAACAAAAATAAACTCAAAGTATCCGCCCAAACAATAAAGGACTCGACGTATGCGCCTTGATTTAGTATTTAGTTTATATATTGTTTCTTTCTATTTATTAATGGGTGAAGACATTAACAATGCCACGCCCACCATCTCGCGATATGGGACCAAAAACCCCAAAAAGAAAAGTAACCACAAAAAACACGGTAAAGAGACTCTACTTCCTCTATACAAATCGGCCAAAAAATAAAATCCAAATCCAAGTCTTTACGAGCAAGTCTCTCTCTAGTTGGAATGCACTACAAACCAATTATCCACATCAAAATATGGGAATAATATTATTATTTCATCTTGTATCCATCGAATCTCCTAACAACATATTGCTATCTAAAAGTCTCCTAACAGAAGCAACTGAAAAAAAGTCTGCGTTCATGGAATCCAAGAGCCAACCCCACCTATCCCTCAAGACCGAATCAATGAACAAACATTAAAATTAGTTATTCTCTTACACTAAAATGAAAATAAAAATTACTAAATAAGTACATAACAAAATAGTTTGTTGCTAAATCATGACACTTAACTATTTCATGTATATTGGTATTTAGTTGTAAGAAAAATGTAAAAGGTATTTTATACAAGAAATATAATTGTCAAAATATCTTTTAAAACCTTAAATGAACCTATTATCAAATATGGTAATTACCTTATATTTTATATGCATTAATAATAGTTACAAATAAGTATGATTTACCTCCTTTTAATATTTTAATTATTAAAAGTAACATTCCATGTTTATTTTGTAGTTTTTTTTAAAAGAGATGTAATATGAAATTAATATTTAAAATGAAGGAAAATTTAAATCAACTACCTATAAATGGCGGTCGTATTATTTCATACGGATACAAAAATCCATGAAAAAAACGTTCAAAAATTGCATCGTATGTAATTAGAAACTGGTTTATATGGAAACCGATTTGGTGGGGTTGACTTGACATTTGAACCTTTAAAAATGGTTTGAAAAACCATATTGAAACCTTCAAAAAGTCGTTTTTATAATATATATATATATATATATATATATATATATATATATATATATATATATATATATGGCTAGGTTATTTTGTTTCTTACATTTATTGTGTGCTAAAATGCACCAATAGGATTTTAGTAAATTAAATAATTATTTAATTAAATAAATATAGATATTAAATGATTTCCATAATTATATGTATATTAAATGATATCCATAATTATAATTCTCTTTTTATGGAAACTAATTAAATTCGTCATTAATGTCAGCAATAACATTCTTTCAGAATAAATTCGCATATAGGTTAAAAAAAAAATCTAGTTTTTTATATATGAGTTCGTATTTTGTTTCAGGACTCACTCATTTAAAATACAATAAAGTTGCATTGAATATGAAGAACGAGAGTGTATTCTACTAGAATACACTCTCATTCTGCTGGAATACACTCTCATTCTTCTAGATATGAATTAATTCTGAAAAAATATTATTGTTGACATGAATGACGAATTTAATTAGTTTCCATAAAAATGAGTTATAAGTATGGATATCATTTAATATACATATAATTAATACAAAATCCTATTGGTGCATTCTAGCACACAATAGATGTGATAAACATTTGAACCTACCTCTATATATATATATATATATATATATATATATATATATATATATATATATATATATATATATATATATATATATATAGTTTCCATCAACAATTTATTCTACTTTTTGTTGATACAAGATTTTGGAGGTTTCTCAAGACTATTTTGACCTCTTGTTCGATCTTGGGCATCCAAAATTCTTTTTTAAATATTTTAAACCCCTACACGATATTGAATGGTCGAAAGCCACCTTATCAAAGCTATGAGTTTTGCTTATTGGGCAATTTCTGACAACAATGGAAATTTCGTTAAATTCTAACGCCGAAATCAAGTTCTGCAAAATGCAACAAAAATGGGAAAAGTTTAGTTTTTCAAACCGCTTTTGAACCGATTTTAAACCTGTCATATATGTTCGGACATTTTAAACCTCGAACCGGTTCAAAACTGAACACCATATTCGAGAAAAAACTGAACCAATTTTCAAAATAGTCCTATTAAATTTGAAAACTGGATTTATGCACATGTACATGTGGATAAACCTTGTACCCCAATATAAGACTTGAAAGCTTGGACAAGTTTATTTTATTTTGGACACATGTCTTTATGAAGTATAGTTGATACTCTTAGTTAGTGTTGGTTTTTAGGTAAATCTATAAATCAATCCATAGTAAAAAGCCGTTATTTGACTTAGACTAACAAATGTTTTTATATTATTTGATTAAAAAAATTTATGATTTGAATCAGTGGTGCTAAAATCAAGACCTCTATCATAAAATCTTATATCCTATAAACAAAACACGAAACACTCTCAGTAAGATTTGGTTTTGGAGCAAGATCGAACCTAATAGTGTAGGATCACACATATGATAGGAAGATTCTACTTGAGATGTTCTTCCCAGTTAATTATGTAGTTAATATGTGTTTGACTATATACTACATACAAGGTCATGACTCTCGATGCATTTGAAGTTTGTGTATTAGGTTTTAATCTTTACTAATGTTTTAAATATTTACTATTAACTTAAAACACGGATAGATAAAATATCCTTCTCGTGTTTTAAACTTATACTTGGTTCAGTTTGTGGTGGAACATGTCTTTAACAGCGGCATGATGCTTCTATGGTTAGATTTGAATTTTATGTATTGGCTTTTTTTGAACGACTTCTGTGTTTGATTTAATCTTTACCAATGTTTAAACTTTTTTTTTTTATAACTTGTGAATAGATAAATGAAGCATGTCTTTAACTTGTGCCTATTTCAATCTGGTAGGATCTGAAAATGATTGTAGAGAGGATGTCGATCTTTTAATCTTAAAAGATCGTAATTGTTACCTTTGAAACGACTATAGAGAAGATCACGATCTGAACTTACAATCATGATCTTACAAAATAGAAAACGATTCTAGAGAAGATCTCAATGTTTTCATCCAAAAAGATCCTGGTTATTACTTTGGATCATATAACTATGAGAAACCTCCATTTCTTTTTGTCAAAGGGGTCTTACAAAGAATCTAAATGAAACTTTGGGTTACAACATTAAAGTTCTTGAAGGAACAGAACCCGCAAATGGTAATCCACACCAAAATCAATCAATCGAATGATCATACTGATCGCCTATCTTCCTCGAATCTTTAGCATACTCATTGTTTATCCGAGTAAATATAGCATGCTAAGTCCCCTTGTTTTTCCTCATCAAATGTCATCTAGATAAAATGTTCTCCATAAATTATGTTTAATAACTTTTATAGAAAATTGATGAGACACTTGAGAATAATGGGAAGATATATTAAAAAACTAGAAATTAACAGGGAAAATCTCATTTCTCTAACTTTGGTATCTTTATCCAGAGCAATTAAATTAAGGGCTTGATTTAGCTATTAAAACTGTAAAAAGCGGCTAATAATAAGTCTGCAGGAACTTGACTTCACACATGCTGATTAAAGTGATGCAGCAATGAAGGTGATTATAATAACAACATTTGAGCTCTCTAAGTATACACTAAATGAAGTATTAGTATTCACAAAATTCCCCCCAGGCTTTGGCCATTAACAATAACTACCCCACCGCCTATTACAAAAAAAAAAAAAAAAAAAAAAGGTACTAATATGGGCTAATCCAAGGATCAGAAAAATAGTAAACAAAATGTTTAAAAAAGAGACATAGACAGAGATGGAAGTCACAGCTGTACACGTACCTCATTATCCTCCTCCATCAACCCTCAATCCTAGTTCATGACTTCATCATTTTATACAAAAAACACCCAAGAATTAGCCCTCATTTCAGTTAACCTAATCCTAACATCTTCATAACAAATTGGCACTCTTTCATCCCATCTGCAAATCATATATCAAATCAAAATCCAATTTTTTTTATTTATTTTTTTCATTTAATAGAAGGGGAAATGAAACTAACCTGTAGATTGATTGGTGTTACTTGGGAATGAGAGCCCAACTCCTACGGTTGGTCCGGAATGCTCAATTCCGATCCAAAATTAGCAGGCAAAAGTGAGAGGTTATGAAGGCGGCTTTTGCTGCTGCCACTCAACTGCAGCCTGGTCAGAGCTTCCACTCTCCGCCCCTGCACCACCAGTTTGTGGTGGTGACAACCGCACAGAGTTAGAGTTCTTAGCATTATCCGCCATCACAACAGGTGTTTCACTACTATTTGCATCATTGACAGGTGTAGTCGTTTGAGAGGTGGTCACAGGTGACTCAGATGGATTGACTTTCTGAGTAAGCAACAACTTTTGAGGATTTATTGTTTGCAACGACTTGTGGTGGTTGTTGGATGGAGGAGGAGCATGATTTTGATTATTATTGTTATCAGTAGAAGCTTTTTGCTGCTGAGGTTGCTTTGATGTTTGCAGATGTGGCAATGGTTGACTTAAAGAAGAATGTAATATTGGTGGTTGCTTACCAGGATACATCATATGATGCATGACTTTCTGCTCACCTTTATCTGCAGCACTAGATTGGCCTCCGCCTCCTGAAAATCCATTCATATCGGCAGTCATCATACCTCCCCCCCTTCCACCTTTCATAAGCTTAGGTTGTTGGAACTGCTGACGTGGCCGCTGCTGTTGTTGTTTTGCAATTTGGTTGTTGCTGGTGGTGGTAATGGTTTGAGGGTTGCTCATAATCCCATGTGGCGCAGGTGCAGGTACAGGATGTTTCTGTGAAGGCACCAATGGTGGAGATGAAGCAGGAAGTTGAGAATCTTGTGGTGGCATTATGGGATTGGATGTAGGAAACTGTTGCTGTTGTTGTTGGCGTAATCGCTGTTGTTGAAGCTGTCTCTCTTTGGCGAATCGCATTGCAAAAGCCGGATGTTGTGGGTTGGTGGGCCCCTGGAAATGATGCGGATGATGGGAATTAGGGTTGAGCACACGTGGCGACTGTTGGGGTGAAATCGGACGTGGTGGCTGCTGGTGGTGGAGTGGGTATGACTGGACAGGCGGCAACGGAGGAACTCCTTGAGTGCTGCCACTTTGTGATGCTTGTTCCGCCGCCACCATCTTTTGGTGGTCCGTGTTTTGGTTGGGCTGTATAAAGAAATCAAAACATGATAAGGGTATTTTAGTCTTTTATTATATATATATATATATATATATATATATATATATATAAAGAATGAAATACGTTCCCTCAATTTGGCAAACCAAACACACAATGGAATGGAATCGCGAATTCTGATTACGACGGAACTCACCCGATTCGTATGCATAGCCTCACGTGATCTCAACAGGGAGTTTCCGTGAGCAGAGGTTGGTGTTGGCGTACCGGAAGTCAACAAACTAGTGGCGGAATTCATCATAGAGGGGGGTCTTGCCATCTTGATGCCTCTAGTCATCCCACACATAACACCCATACCACTTCCAGCTGGCAACATGCGTACACCTCGATCGGTTACCGAGTGGGACCCAGGAGGCAAACTCGACTGATTTGCGTTTCTTGCAGACAACATCTGATTGTACTGTTGCAATTTTTGCTGGTCATCTACCGATAACGACCCCGCTCTAGGGATCCCGTATCTTCCCTCCCTATACATACAATAAAAAAAAAAAAGTAAGAATTTGGAACAAAAACAAGCCATTCAAAGAAAGTTATTTACTGAATTACCTGACAGATGGATTAAGAGAGGAAGAAGCAGAGGGAAGATTAGTTCCATGAACGGAATTGGAAGAACCAGGAGCTGAAGGAGCAGGAAGCATAGGCGGTACAGTACCGTGATTCAGAACCGGTAACCCACCCGGACCTTGAAAACCAACCGGAACAACATCTGGGCTCGATGAGATTGGTTCAGATAGTTCTAGAGGCCTATTTTGGTAATTACACAGAATATGGTATTATAAAACGAAAGTAAAAAAAAAAGGGGGTAGTAAAAGGTAAAATAGAGAACTCACGTGAGGACAGGCCCGCCATTAAGGTTATTTGGAATGACTTGAGAAAGAGCAAATGCATGAGAAGTATGAGGCTGCTGTAACTGTTTTGGATCCTGATTATCATTCTTTGCAGAAAAAAGATTATATGAGTACATAATAATTGCATAAAATAAGTTAAAAAGTTGTTGAGAGACTACCTGTGACCTTCTGTAATGTTGTTTATGTCCAATCATAATAATTTTCTCAAAATGAGATTTCAGTGTATCCTCTTCCATTGGTCCCTGCAACCGTTGAAATAATTGTCTTGCACTGCCCTGTATCAACATACATACATACATACAAAAACCAACAATTTACCTCAATCATACACACACCTTAAAACTTCAAACACATAAACTATATATATATATATATATATATATATATATATTTATATATATATATATATATTACAGATATAAAAAATAAAATTTGAATATTGCCTCTGGAATGCCGGGTAAAGTAGAGGGATAAGGCTGGGAGTTCCCTGAATCTTCAGCACTATCAGCCCCATCACCAGTATTTCGATCCATCAATATTTTATGCCGCTCTTTGCATTCTTTTGACTTGCGAAAAATGCACTGCACAAACATGTAACAAATTAACCTTTTTAAAATAAAATACAATTTTTTTGGGAATTGGGATACGATATGATATGATATGATATGTTAGTTACCTTGAATTGCAAGGTGCTGTTAATGGCATCACTTATAAGCTCCCAGTTTGGACCCATATCATGAACCAACACAACAAGTGCCTGAGGAGACAACAGACATTTTATAAACAACACTTATTTCTCAACAAATATAATATATAAAAATTTAGTGAAAAAAAGTTTGACCTGGTCTTCAAATAACGACCATGGACTTCCTGACCCTGGCTGCCCAACAGGGGTCTGCAGAGTTGACTTCTCAATTAATCCGTGTAACGAAATAGAAAAGGAATTTAGAGTGTAATTAAAAGCAATGAATTAATTAATAATACCTTAAGTGCTTTGGCTTTCCTTCCACGATCACGCACTAGTAATTTCATGATCTTATTCGGGTTGGACATATTACTCATTTGAGAAGCCACTGTAGAAGCCAAGGAATCAAACCAACCAAGTGAGTAAGATTGTTAATAAATGTATCAAGAATCAAATAGTCTGCCAAATTTAAACATATACAACAATAGGAAGATGCATACCACTGCTTCCATTCGAATCAAATTGATGTGCATCCAGCCTCCTTCTTGAGTGATCCTTCTGCATTTGTATATCAACATGTTTAATCTTACAATATGACTCTACAACAAAGTGCAAAGCATTATTTTTATTTAAACGTTGGAATTTTACCTGGTCACTTTGAAAATTAGAATCAAGTTGCCATCGGTGGTCAAACGTGGATCCCTGAAACAACAAAAAACAAGATTAAAAGTCAAAACAGGTAGAAGACAAAAAAAAAAAAAAAAAAAAAAGACTCCGAGTAAATGTCAACATACCGGATGTTTTACCTTCTTTTTCTTTTTAGGTCTATTTGAAACTTCCATGGAGTCAAACTGTAATTGCTTTTCATAGTCTCCCACTGACTCAGCTTCCATATTATTCGGTATCTGGGACCCACCATGTAAACTACTTTGTTCATCTTGAAAGGAATTTGTATCACCACTTGAAGCATCTGTCCTATGTGGCGCTTGTACGCTTCCAGAAGTTCCAGCATGGAATGGACTTATAATCCTCTGTCTGGAAGCAGTACGCACTCTTTTTGTAGGAATAGAGACATTTAAGCTGGTGGCAGGTCTTTTCCCACTCAAAATAGAGGGTTGGGTCCCACCAGTTTGCATGAATGACACATCACCTCCCATCTCATATGATCTCCCCCCATAAATTTTAAAGTTTTTCCTTCTTTTTTGAGCAGCTTTTGAAGATTTGTGACCTTCAAACCCTCCAGGCACATAATATGTGTTTGTTTCTCCTTCGTCCTCTTCAAATGCATTTTCTTGAAATTCAAAGTCTTAACAGTTAGAATTTTAACTGATATACTATTAACAAGGTCTCAACAATTAATACCAAATCTTATAATACCTGCAACAGCATCATAGCCAGATGTATCCACTTCCTCTTGCATGATACTTCCAGTTCTCTAAACAAGTTTCGAAACAAATATCAGTGAGCAAATTGCAAGAAATACCAACATACTTTACTCTTTTTACCAATATGGACAATGTACTTTACTTTTCACCCATATTTACCTCAAACTGCAGCAAATGGGATTCAATTGCTTTCCTGTAGGCCTCAATCGCGCCAGGTGGAACTGTATAAAAGAGGTTCTCCTGCATTACAGTGTAACAAAGTTGTTATGAAACCAGTTAAACATTGAAGTATTAATGTGTGCACATTTTGTCTCGGTTTATGGCATTGTGTTTGTGTGGCAATAATATATAGTAAAAAAAAAAAAAAACTGAAAAAGATAGTGAAATGTGATGTAATAGTGATTGCAACGTGACGTGTGAAGATACCAAGTGTTAGTCCATACTTCTGTCAAATTGTCCTCCCAGGAAAGGTCCATGATGCCTAGATCAGATATAGTATCAGTTGTCACAGGTGCTTCAGTTGGGTTGTACTGAGCTTTAGAGCTATTATACTCCAAAAACCTCATTGCATATCCCTGAATCCCAACTCCATGATCTTTTGTAAGTTGTGACTCTGATTCCTCGCGTTTCACCTGTTAAATGTCACAACTCACAATATAAGTTGTGGTCTTTCTTATACTCACAATAAGTCAATAAAAGATTACAAAAACTTATAAAAAAGACCTGTATCAAGTGCCAGAACTCCATGACTGCTTCTGCTAAAGTGTGAGACACTTCCTTTTGCTTTTGCAGTGAGCTTTGATTATTGAATCTTACACGTGAAGAAAAAGCAACTCTCTTTGAGAGTTGAGCAGCTGCAGTTACCTTCCAAAGGCGCTCCTGTTTATAAACATAGGAGCAAATACTCACTAATTGAGTTAATGGGCTTAAAGGGTTAAGCACTGAATTTGGACAGCTATACAGGTCCTTTTCTACTTAATCTAATGGGTTAAGCCACTAAGAGGTTGTTTCCTTTTGACTTAATCAACTTGATGGGTTAAGCACTTAATCTGGATAGCTACACATGGTTGTTTCTTTTTTACTTAATCTGGGAAGAATGACTTAATGAACTTCATTGCTTAATGTATTAAGACACTAAGCATTTACCTATTTTCATTTCTTCTTTTTTCCTCCCAACTCCTCTCATGTTAGATTAATGAATATTGCAAAAAAGAATTCAGAATGTAAGGGTAAAATGGTCATTTAATCTCATTCAAACAAGGTATTCGACCTCAAAAAATAAACAGGCCATATGTATGCAACAAGCCAACAATTTATCGACATCATTATTCATTCAGCCACTTTACCCGTACAATTTATCGGGGAAAAGAGAAAGAGCCCTTAACCCTATACCTGTTTGCCCTTCTTCTTTTATACTTCCTGCTCCTCTAATGTTAAAATGGATGAATATTGTTAAAACTGATAAATATTGTCAGTTTTTTTTTTTTGAATGTAAGGGTAAAAAGGTCATTTAGTCTCATTGAGGTTATTTATTCTGTCTAGATAACAAATGAACCATATGCATACACTTTATCCAGACAAACATCATTACCCATTCAGCCACTTTACCAATACATGACTTAATGGAGGATAATTAAAAAAGAAACAGCCCCTTAGATTTTTATCAGCAAAAACAAACCTGGGCAAAATCATTAGCCAACCATGACATTTCCTCAAGCACAAAATCCCATTGTGATTTTAGACGTCTCTCCAATGGCAAAGTTCTAACAGACAGCTCAGCAATCCTCTTACGTTTTGCCTGTTTACAATATAATCTCAAATCAGCTATTTAGGACACTTCTATGGGGAGGCAATCAAATGCCTTGAATTTTAAAAAATGAAAACAAAAAACAACCTCTATAATTCGAGCCTCTTCTAAAATCGAGTCTTCATGTTCTTTGGTTGCCTGTTTGAGGTTTTCCTGAGAGCATGCATTTTGCTCCGCCACATCAGCACAATGCCTAGCAGTGTCATTTGAAGCCTGATGCTTTCTTTCTGTTTCTGAGGTATTGCAGCCATCTGCAACATCTTTTCTGGTAGCAACAGAATTCTTCAACTCATTTTGCGAGCAAGATTCAGATCCTTTCAGACCTTCCTCTTCCTTAATAGAAGAGCCATCATCATTCTTATCTTTATCTTTATCAACATTCAATATCTTATCATCCTTTTCTGCAACTAAATTATTACCTACCACATCTACTACCTCCTTTGATGCAAAACTATTCCCATCATACCCATCAAAACGTTGACTGGTTTGACCGCATGATGACTCAGAATCCAACACCTTTGTGGGAATCACTGCACCATTATTTCCATCATCATGTCTGATTTTCACCTCTTCCATGTTTCCAACCCCATTGGTGGGAGTGGGACCCACAAAAATTTCAGTTTTCACTGTGTCTGCATGAGGAGGACATTTGGAATCTGTCAAGTCTTCTACCTGTTCTTGATGATTCTCTTGAGTGTTTTGTTTAACATTAGCATCTAAAACAGCAGAATATGGACCATGTGGAGGTCCAAGGATTGATTGTCCAGCTGGCACACCATCTAACTCATTAGGACTTTTAGGATTGGAGTTGGAAGCATGTCGAAAAGGAAGAAAATGAGCACCACGAGAAGGAACTGCATCAGTAGAACTTGAACGGGCCCCATCCCGATTTGGTCGAGACCTAATCCTACGTTTATATGATTTTTTAGGAAGTTCCAACACAGCAGAGTCTACGCCTGATTCCTTGCTGATGTGTCCAACATCCAATTTGGACAAGTTAATGTTATTTGCACCATCGAATAGCATGAGATTATCAGCACTGTTGGGTTCACAGACTGAAGGAGCACCTAGTCTACCGCTACTTTCAACTGAATCTCCATGAGGTGAAGCAGTAATTGCAAAACTACCCTTTGCTTCACTAAGAAAACCATAATAAAAGATTATCAATAATCATGCTGGAAACACTTGCCACATTCATTACACACTAGATACAGACCTTGTCAGATGTCGATCTGTCAGCGATGTGGACTGGAAGCTAATCGATGCTGCATTCCCAGGTTTCAAGTCTAAAGGGTCTCCACCCTGCAAATACCAAGCATTTCATCACCAATCTATGCTTAAAGATTTTCAAACATAAAGATAATATTAGTCCCATTACTTTCTGTAGAAATTCCAATTCTCTTCTAAATTTCTCAGCAGCAGTGAATGTTTGCCTGCAATAAAACATACATTATTATATTGGCTTGATTTCAGAAAAAAAACTCAGGGGTCAAAGCAAAATTTTGCAACATAAAGAAGAGCACAACTGTTACCTAAGTTCCGCTTGAGTTTTTTCAAGATCTGACGATTGCTGCAGAGATGGTTTTGAAGAAATTCCAACTCCGGTGTCAATAACTCCTCCCATTGAATCAAACTCAGCATTGACTATAAGCATAAACCCTGAAGTACATCCATGCATGCCCTCTTCAAGCACCTAGAGGTCTGTTCATGACCCTAATTCAAAAACTAAATCAAATTACAGATATATATATATATATATATATATATATATATATAGAGAGAGAGAGAGAGAGATTACAAAATATTCTCATTCCTAATGGTCATGCACACAGAGAGAGAAAGAGGTCATATGTTATATAAGGTATGCCACCAAACCTGAATATGTTGTATGGAAAAACAAAGATCATAGAAAATGAACTAACTTGGAAATTATCTACACCCAGATAACCATTTCTTGCTATAACAGTAGCATAGTTATGATTCAATTCATGAATCCAAAGAAAGCTAGCTACCAATCTAGGTGTCCAAGATAAGTTAGTCAGTCATAGTGCACAAATGAGCAAGCCAATTCAATTCTCATCAGTAAAATTCAAATAATTGCACTGTATATTATACCCCATTGCTTAGTACACTCCATGCCCACGTGCAACCACCATTATAAACGTTCATAATCTCAAGAAAAATGCCCCAGTAATATAGAGTTACCAACGCCCCATGTTTGAGAAATGAAAAACGACCCTAGTTTTTGTCACTTTGACACTTGGTTAGGTTTCAGGCATGCATTCAATCAAAATGCCCCAATACAACACTGCAATTACATAATTACACATTCATTGACCTATAATCTACTAGAGTGAAAAAATTCCAACAGTTCCAAGTTCTAGGGTTTACACAATATATAACATTTCGTCCAATTCTAGGGTTTCTGTGAGAAATACCTGAATTGCGAAGAGCACTGCAACAATCTCCAGCTAGGAAACCTTTCCCCTCTCCCCTGAGGTGCTTCTATGATGTAAAATAGATCAATTTCCAAATCAAAAACGAATTTTTGCCCTAGAAAATATAGGACATCAAAAGAATCGACTGAGTGCGTCCTTTTTGAAATTGTTTACCCTAATCACTCACAAATTATACATATACATAATATATATGAATGTCCTTTGTGTGAAAGATTGGTGTGTATGTAATGTTGTTCGTTCTGGTTCGTCTTCAAGCTCGAATTCCTCTCTCTTAAGCAGATTTGCAAAAAACTATTTCGTCGTCTCTGTGAGTAGTGGGCTGGACATGCAGACGCAGATGGAGAGGGCTTTTTTGGTCGTATTTGGGCTTTTTGCTTACCTTTTGTTGTTGAAAAGGGATTTGGTTTCAAACTTCCAAGGAAACAATAGAAATAGTATCTTTTTATCATATATCTAGTATGATATTTATATCTTTTATTTTAATCTTAAAAAATCTATTCAACTATAACATCATTTAAATTTAAATATTACATTTAAAAATAAAGTTTTTCGAAAAAACAATTGACATGGATAAGCTATTTTAAAATACATTGATTGAATAAAAAAAATTAAAAATACAATCTTATAATAAAAAATCAAAAGTATAATGGTATAGTATACCGAGTCTTCATGTTTAGTTATTCATGTTTAGTTATGGGTTTCTTGGAAACTATGACTTCTCAAAATATCATAATCCTATATGTGCGTGTGTGGTGTGTATGTTGGGTACCAACCACATTTCATACTCAAAATATTGAAAACTAATAAATAGCTTTGTAACATCTTAAATATAAACGACCACACTTATGGTTCTTAATTTATAATAATACAAGTTTATCATAAAAATCTAACATGTAAGTCTTTCAATTGAAACATATAGTACCCCTTTTGTATTCTACATATTTAAATGAAAATATAATGTTTTGGGTTTGTGTCGTGGAAAATGAAGTTTATGTAGACTTTTGAACATTAAACATATGTATTTTGATTCAAATTCCTTATATGTGGTTGTTATACAATATACATTAAACATATGTGAATGATACATATTACATGGTTAATGTCATAGTTGGAAAATTATAACCTCGATGAATTTGGCATACATGACTAATATATATTAAGCATTGAACGCAAGGCATAAAATGATATTTTCATAAATTGATTTATGGGAATATAGCAAGAAAATACATTTCTAAATTTGTATACTTCTTGCATACGTGCTGCAAAAGTTATGTTGAAAATAGGTATCCAAAGTGGATTAGTTATGATTGTACTTGGTACAAAGTATATGTTTATAACATGTAAAAAAAATATATGTTCAATATATATATGATTAAAACCCATTTATAAAATGCATTTATCTATCACTCTACTCTACGTTGACTTGCTTTTCCTTATTGTTTATTGGTTCGTCGCTTATTTTGTACATAGAATAAATTATGTGAAATAAAAGGATAAAAAATAGTGTCCATATACGGACCATGGATGTACCCTTTAGTCGCGAGAGGAACCGGGTAAACAAAGTCGCAATACGAATGAATGGTAGCTCGTTGGGCTTGTCGTTTGCTCTCAAAGGTGCTAGTTCGAATCCAGTTCGTGACAAACACAGAACCTTTGATCATAGAATATCTCGGGGCCTCTATAGGTAAATACGGGGCTTTGGCAGCTGCACTTTTTTTATATGATGCATCGAATGCTTCCTTTACTCAAAGGAAGGGGAAAATATTATTTTATATGTATCAAGGATAAATTGTTGGAAATTTTAATGGAATAAGAAAGTTGACTAGTTTTCATTATCTTACATTGGTGGGGGAATAAACATTTAGTCAGTTTCCTTATGTGTCCATTGGTTCTCATAATCAACATAATCACTTCAATAAACTAAAACCATAGGAACCATTCTTGTCATGAAAAAAATTAGAGACTGTATTTGAGACCTTTTATAAAGTATAAGGACCATTTGTGTAATATAATCATAAAGGCAGGGAGAGATGTTATTAGAATTTAATATTTGTCTGGTACTTTTAATTTTATTTTTTAACCAATTTTTAAAACTTTCAAACCGTCTAAAATTTAACTTAAATGTAAGTGGAATGTTCTTAACAAATTTCATCGGCTTCTTTAAAACCCTCACTTCTCAAATTCTATCGATTTCTTTTCCGATCACTTTTGGCAACAATGGAGGTGTTTCTTATTCAACTTATAAAAGGGGTCCATGTTTATATAATGTTCGACTCGACATAATACTTAGCAACAACAAATGACGAATTAAAAATACATGTCGTCATGACACACAATTGGAAGAACTTATTGAAGTCGTACGCTTGACCGGATAATGTTGATTTTTATGTTGTTGGAAATGAGAACAACGGTGGTGGTGGTGGTGGTCTAGTGTCCATGAGCAAGACAGTTTGACTCGTTTATCAATGAAAATGAATCTAAGCACATGCATATCATAGTAAACACTCAACTTTAGTAGGAGGGATCGGGAACGATGCTTATTGGCCTAAGTCTGCTGACATGTTATCCTATGCTAGGCGGTTTCCCAGAATGAGCATTGAGGTTATTAGCCGATGTATGATTACCGGTTAAAATATGAGATCATTTGATAACGTAATTGTATAAATTTCTTCTAATAATTGAGATCTATATTTGAATTGGAGCTCTCACGAGATATTCATTTAATTAATCTCATGTAAAGCTTTTCTATGATTTTAGTCTGAGATCATTTAATTAACCGAAGAGATCTGAGATCATTTCGTAATTAACTCTTGAGTTTCTTCAAACGATCGAGATATATAATGAATTAGAATTTTCATATGAGTTATTTATTTAATTAGTCTCATGTAATTTTCAATTCCATGACTTTAGTCTCAGATCATTTATTTAATCGAGATTCATTTATGATTGTGGTTTTTAGTTGAATTTAATACATTTGTAACCTATTATGATTTCACTTTGAGATCCATAGTTTGGATCAAATTGCAAATGTCAAAGGGTTTCAGTCATTTGAATTTGAATAAATGTAGATTCAATTGTTTACAAAAAAAAAATTATTACAAAAAACCTAAGTGACATGGTAACTTTTCGAAATTTTAAGATTCAGATATTATTATTATTATTATTATTATTATTATTATTGATTTCATGTTTACTTCCCAAGGTCTAAATGATGTTGTTATCAATATTGATGGATTAATTGAGTTTCGTGCGAAGGATATGCCTTGGATAAACAATGACACCTTGGTAACACCATTTTCTTCCTTTGATCCTTCAATGGAACAATTTTCTCTTTTTTTAATAGCCGATCAGTTGAGTCGAACCGAAATCGAAAGTGTCAATTACTTTATCGAGTTCGAGCTTGAGCTTGAAAATCAAGGCTCGAGTCAAATTTCAAGCTCGTGAGTACTCGGTTCAATTACAATGACCAGGTATGTAAAAAAAGATAGACATATATATATATATATATATATATATATATATATATATATATATATTGTTAAAACCAAAGAAAAAAAAATATACTCACTTAACTTTGGTATATAGTGATTAGTGAATATTTAATACATCACTGGTGGAACTTTGCGCTGAAAATTACAAAATCTCTTATGCAATGAAGTTCCCAACAGCTAAAACTATAAATATCAGCACCTTTTATTTGGTTGACCTCCACGTGGCTCTTTCCACTTCAAAGAACTTAATGCAAGACTCTTGTCTACAAAAGCATGATAAACTTCATTAACACACATAGCATCCATAAATCATGATCGATAATTGTTTGTAGTGATTTTAACACGCACATAATTTAAATGAACAAATGCATATTAAAAAAAAACATTAGATTATTGTTCTTGTATGAAATAACATAGTTTTTGTAATCATATATAACAACACATTAAATCCCTCAAAAGCTTTTATCGTCTAGAATCTGATTTTCCAACAGAAGAAAGCATAAGCCTCAACTCCTTCACATGGTTACTCATTCCATTCATATTGTAAGCTTTAATCATAGTTCTATACGTAATCTTATCAGGTTCACACCCTTTACTTTCCATCATCACCAACACCCCCTTCATTTCCGCTAAGCATCCCATCATACCATAAGCATCCACCAAACAATTAAAAAACACAGTGTCAACCGTCACATCCGAACTTTCAATATACCGCAATAGCCCCCCGATCTTTTCCGCTTTGCCATTTTGAGCATAACCTCGTACAAGCGAACAAAGAGTGACACAGTTTGGTTTTATACTCTCGGATTGCATCAACCGAAATAAAAATTCCATTTGATTTACATCCCCAGCTCTCCCAAATGCATCTATGACTATATTGTAAGTCACTAGAGTCCATGAGAAATGATATTTTTGCATATATTCCATCACTGCACTCATCTTTTTATAGTTTCCGGTTTTTCCATATGAATCTAGAAGTATATTGAAGGTTTTGATGTTAGGTTGAATTCCAGCACTTAGAAACTTCTCATAACATTTTTCCATTGTTTCAATTTGACCACTTCCACCGAATGCTCTTAGGGTTGAATTCATGGTCCATACATCAGGCTTACATTCCCTTTGGCGAAGCATTTCCACTAATGTTGATTCCATGTCAGCGAATCTTTTGCAAATTGGAAAACAAAAACATTCATATGTTAGTCCCGTGTAGCCTAAAAAAGTAATCTATTTGTTGAAGGATTACCTTTTTGCTTTCCCGTATGCATCAATAAGGGTATTGTAAGTAACTGTATTGGGGTTGACTCCTTGTGAGACCATTTCAGAAAGCAGAGATTGCACTTTATCAAACTCATGAAAATGAAGGCATGATTTTATGAGGATGGAATATGTGTAGACATCAGGGTAGCAGTTGGGTGTGTTCTTCATCTCTTCTAGAATAGAAAATGCTTTTCTAAATAGGCCACTTCGACTGTAGGCAGAGAGAAGAGCAGTGTATGACTCTTGGTTTACATCACAGCCTTCATCAATCATGGCTTGAAACAAGGAATTTGCTCTCTCAGGTTGCTTACATTTTCCAAGCATCACAAGTAGCTTCACGTATATAGCAGAGTTAGGTCTGTACCAAAGCTGCTCACGAAGTAGTTCAAAAACCTGAAAAACATACAGTGTCATGATATTAAATATTAATAACAACAAAGTTATATTGAATTCTCTTGTTTCTTGCTACTGTGCTGATGAAATGCTTAGGAGAATGTTGTTGAAGAAATAATTAAATGATGAGAGGTGTTGATAAATTATGTGTGATGATGCCTAATAGGTGTTTGATGAAATGCCTGTTTTTTTTTCTCTTTAAGAGTTGGAAA